GAAAAAAAAAAAAAAAAAAAAAAAAAAAAAAAAAGATTGGTTTACAAAATAGACAAAGGAAACCACCACCCAAGCCGACCGGGTTCGATTCAGTAACCCAACCCTAGTCGGTGAAACCAGAGATGGTGGCATGAGGGTGGCAAGCCTTGGCATTTGCGGTGGGCTCAGCAGCTGGGCTGGGCTCGGTGGGCTTTACAACAAGTTCGGCAGGCAAGTCCCCAATGTCCCTCAAGTAGAAGGTATAGAAGAGTTTGAAAGGGAATATGATCTGCTGCAGCTTAACCTGACCCCTCACACCTTCGAAAATCCCTGACCCACCAGTCACAGCCAGGTACGTGTCCTCATAGGTGAGGTAAGGCCCCTGCACCGCTATGTGACCGTAATCCCCAAAGTAAAAGCTGTAGATGGCCTCGTAATGGTCACCTTTCATCTCCGGTTTGTTTTGCACCAATATGCACAACCCTGCCGTTATCCCTACCCGTTTTTGTAGGTCTCCGGTGTATAGCTGTAATTTATTAAAAAAAAAGTAAATGGGGGAAAAGAATTAATAAACTATTATGAACGTGCTTCTTTCTACTTTTTCTTGCTTGACCATCGGGAATCTTCCACGAAGAACAAGGACATTAATTCAGAGACTAAGCAGAGAAATCCTCGCTTTTCGATGGCGCTAAGTGAGATTGATATTCACTAAGAAAAATCTTCCGACGAAATAAAAATACTAGCTCTCATATGAATCTAAGCATTCTGTTCAGATTTTCTTCTCGGAAAATTACGATTCCCTAAAGACTAGACTACATATAGAAAATACTCTAGAACGAAAATTGATTCAGTGAATTCAAAATCAAAGGATAGAAGATAAACAGATCATCAAGCTCACTTACTTTGTTCGTAAAGGGAACCAGATCGCCAAGCGCATTCGTATTCTTCTGGCTTAACTTAAGATATGCAGGACTTTGACGATCTCTCTCGTTGATTTCATAAACATATAGTTCCTGAACTTTACCTACGGAAATCAAAGAAACGATCAAAATCCACACAGATCCTCCAAAACAAATGTCGATTCATTGAAAAAACCTAAAAACTCACTCGGATTAGGAGAATCAGAGGCGCTGCCCTGACTACGGCAAGAGAACGATCTTCCAGATGTGGAGAAACTCAGATTCTTCTTCGGAGCGGAGAAGAGCTTGGAGGTCTGAGTGAACAATTGACCAGGAAGCTTGATGGAAACAGGCCGATTAACAGAGGAATTAGTCGGACTCGCACAGGATAATCGCACAGAGTTGGAAACTGCTCGCAAAGTTGCCATGGACGATGATTTCGATCTCCGATTTTGGAGTTTGGATGGAGAGAAAGTGGAAGAAAAAAGTGTTCTGAGAGAAAAGAAAACGAAGGGATTGGGATTCCTAAATAGAGAGAATATTTTTCGGTGTTTTTAATTAATAATTTAAATCAATAATTTTTGGGGTATTCTAGCGTCTGATCGCCGTCGGGAACGTGGACGGTGCGCATGTGGAAATGGTGGAGACGGCGGCCAACAAGAGTCAACCCGACGACGATTACACGTGGCAGTTCTCCATTGGAAGTCGTGGTAAATTAGTCTTCCAGTTCTACGGAAGGTTCGGTGTGAACGCCTGAACCGGATTATAACGTGTGAAAACAACAGGTCGGTGGGCCAGAATTTCCATTCACTTGTCGGTGAGAATATCAAAATGATAGAATTTAAATTTTAAAGAGTTTTTAGAAGAGATGAACGGTCGGCACATTTTAAAACATTCGACGGATAAATTATCCATAAAAAATAATAATCATAATAAACAACACTTTCTTTATTTTCTAACATTTTAGTATTTATATATATTTTTAAACCTTTAATTCTCGTAATTTTAACGGTAAAAATGGCCACTTAATTACGAGATAATTTTTGTTGGATGATGAAAGTCCCACATCGGCTAATTTAGGAAATGATCGTGGATTTATAAGTGAGGAATACTAACTCCATTGGTATGAGGCCTTTTAGGAAGCCCAAAGCAAAGTCATGAGAGCTTATGCTCAAAGGGGACAATATCATACCATTGTGGAGAGTCGTGTTCGTCTAACAATTTTTACAATAAAAAAAAATAAAAATGATAAACATGTGCATTAAAAAAACGGTTTTATTACGTGGATCTAAATAATTCAAATATTTAACCTTTTAATCTATAGTTATATTTGACCGTATTGATTACTTTATACCATCAATTCTGGTGGGAAAGGCATAGAATAATTATTGCTTCACTTTTATAAATTAAAAGGGTTCAGATATGATTGCTGAGGTAGGTGAGACAACATCATCATTATTAGTAAATTATTTTGTTTCGCAGGAAATTACGTTTTTATCCTTTAATTTTGTTTATAAAATTTTAATTTATTTTTAATTCAATTTCCGTAATTTAGTCCAACTTTATTAATTATATTCCGTGTTTTAAATAATAAAATGGTAGAGTTGGAGTTTAATTTAAGTGAGGACTAAATTGTAATTTTGTAAAATTGTTTGAACAAAATTGAAAATATGTCTAAATTTTAGGGGCTATGAAAAAAAAATAAAAAAAATTGTAATTTAATTTAAAATATTATAGGGAGTAAAGTAAATTGAAAGTGAAGTCCAATTAGGCCCATAAAAGCTCAATGCTCGATGTGTGGGGCTTAGCCCGAAAGGCCTATGGTGTATCGGCTTTGCGTTGTCAGCTCGGCTGCTAGCCTGCACCTCACTCAATCCTTACCCTATTCAATTCAAATAAATGATTTTTTTTATAGCTTCGTTTATAACAATAATGTAACGGGTTAAAGCGGACAATATTTGTTAATGGCGAGTATGAGCTATTACAAAATATCAAAGCCAAATACTGGACGGTGAGATCCCAAGAAGTAAACGAAACCTTTCTTATAAGAGTATAGAAATGTAATTATGTGACAAAATTAACTAAATAAAATTGTTTTTTATTTAATAAATGGTTGAATTTATAAAAATATTTATGACTTTATTAAATTTTTAAATCTTTAATTCATAAAAGTTATACTTTTTAGACATTTAATAATCAATGAAAATGGAACTTCTGAAAATAATAATAATAATAATATTATTATTATTAATTTCATCCACCCCTGTGGGTGGCCACGTCTAGATTCATCTACTAGACAAGGAATGTGCTCCCGTCCTTAAAATATCCAAACAAACCCCGACAAAATCATACTCTAAAAGCAAATTTTTTATTTTTTAATTTTAAAAATTACTTGATGTTTTATCTATGTAATTATAATTATACGTCATTATTTATTGTTTAACAGGTTGAATTAAAGGTTTTGATTATTAAACTTTTAAATTTACATATAATGGGTCTATAAAAAATTTTAAAATGTTTAATAGAATTTTACCCGCTCTAATTTTGCATCTAATAAATGAGTTTTTAACTGATGAATTCCTACTCGCCACCGCTTTAAGTAACTTTGGTTCCTGTACTTTGAGTTTCATTCTATTTCGTTCCATACTTTCAAAATTTTAATGAATTTATAGTACATATTGTAATTTCGTAAAAGTTAAAAGGGCCTTTTAGGTAAGAATTCGAACAATTGCTAACCCCAGAACACAAGAAAAAACCTGCAGCTTTGGCAATTATTAATTTTCCTTCTGGCTCATATCCGGTAAAGTTTCATTAAAAGTAGTCTAAGGTCTAGTAATTAATTATTATGTCCGTCAATTATAAATTAGTTGGAGGAGAAAACAAAACATTTTTTTTTTTATAAACACTTGTAAACCTCTCTTTAACTGACACACTTTTAAAACTTGAGACAAACAGATTGTTAGTAGTGGATTTGGACGGTTACAAATGATATTAAAGTCAGACACAGTCAACACTGATGAACATCATTATACACCAAGGTCAAAATGGGAAAACTTGCACACATTCTCTCTCTAACCTTTGAGTTGATCATCCTTTGTTAAAAGAGGGGAGGAGGGGGGGCCTAGATGAGAGAGAAAGGGAATATGATTTGTGAGTGAAGCATTTCCACACCCAAATCTATTCCCCCACTAATTCAACCTCTACATTCCCCACTAACTTTTAAATCAATCTAACACAGATACCAAAATTTGAAAATCAAACCCTAAACCCTTTTAAACCGTTGACCGTTGAAGATAGTTCTCGATCTTGACTAATAAGAATTATTGAAGAGAATTTATAATAAAGTGGCTTCTGGGTGGAGAATAGAGATGTCCACAGGACGAGATTAGCTGAGATCTAGAACCATCTTCAATTTATGAGGACTGTAAATTGGCTTTTGGGTCAAGAATAGAGATGTCCATGGGACGGAACATAAACATTGTCCCTTGTCCTGTTTAGCCAAAAATCTCTCCCTACTTCTTTAGTGACTGTAATCGTTCAAGTCTTCCACTAGGAGATATTGTACAAGTCATTAGCCTCACAGTTTTAAAACGCGTCTATTAGGAAGAGGTTTCCAAGAATATTTCGTTTTTCTCTCTAACTGATGTGGGATCTCACAAAAATAGTTCTAGATCTTGGATAAGAAGAATTGTCGTGGATAATTTAGAGATGTCCACGGGACGGGTAAAGAGGGCTAATTTCTACCGATATCGAAAGAACGAGATTTTTGTTATGTCCACAAATAAAGCTAAGTTCTTGAAAAGGAATAAAATAAATTCTCCTTAGTGAATAGGAATATATACTTAAAAAGATCCTTCTAAGATAGGGAAAGGCCTATCTTTTTTGGCCTTCTTGGATTGTATTGTATTGGATGTGTAATAATGTATGGAAGCTATCATTTGTGTTGTAAAAATATAGCAGTTTGTAAGTTGTCTTCTTCCCAAAGTGTTGGGTCTGACACTTCCGAACCACCTACCGCCCTTTCTAAGAAATGTTTTGTTTCCTTCTCCAACTAATGTGGGATCTCACAATCCATCCTTGAGCGCCCAGCGTCCTCACCGAGGCACCACTCGGTGGATGACTATGATACCATATGTAACAACTCAAACCCACAACTAAGGGATATTGTCTTTTTTGGGTTTTTTCTTCTGAGTTTTCCCTCGAGATTTAAAATGTGTCTTCTCGGGAGTGGTTTCCACACCTATATAAGGAATGTTTCGTTTCCCTCGCCAACAGATGTGAGTTATCACATGTCAATATGAAGATAGCTCAACTGGTTAAAACATATATTTAATCAGAAGATGAACTAGGGTTTTTGAAAAAGTGCAAGAGACGAGAGTGTCAGGAGTTGCAGATGCATAAGAAAGTAAGTAAACACGTAAACGATTGCAAAAGGAGGCAAATATTGTACAACTCCATCGAGTTGAGTGGCAAAATCGAAAGAGTAGGATTATTGAACCCACAGCTCAGACAATGAGCGAGTCGGTAAAATAGCTCAGCTCTACCCAACTCAACCCAACTCGTAACCCTAATTTATCCCATCCAATTGGTCCTGATAAAGTATTAAACTATGAATCTGAAAGAGATTCGCAGAAATCCTAAGCCCTAGAAGACAGCTGAGAGGAGGCCCCCATTCTATCTCTCGACTAAAGAGGGTTTTTTTCCCCCTTTTTTAACAGTTTTGTTTTCCCTTTTATGCCTTGGTACCCTGCTCCCACGTTTAATGGCAAAAACGCTCCGATAATTCTGGTCTGTTAAAGAGAGGTTTTCACACTCTTTAAAAAAATGTTTTGTTCTCCTCTCCAACCAAGGTGAGATTTCACAATCCACTCCCCTTAAGGCCAGCGTTCTCATTGGCACATTACCAAGTGATTGGCTCTATACCATTTTTAACCTCTCAAACTCACCACTACCAGATATTGTCTTCTTTGAGGTTTTTCTCAAGGTTTTAAAATGTGTTAGCTAGGGAGTGGTTTCCACACTCTTATAAAAAATGTTTAGTTTCTCTCTCCAACTGAGGTGGATCTCACAATCCACTCTCCTCAGGGGCCAGCATCCTCACTAGCACACCACCGAGTGACCAGCTCTAATATCATTTTTAACCGCCCAAACCCACCGCTACCACATATTGTTCTCTTTGAGCTTTTTCACAAGCTTCTAAAACCCGTCTGCTAGAGAGTGGTTTCCACACCCTTGTAAGAAATGTTTCGTTCTCCTCTCTAACCATTATGAAATCTCACAATTCACTCCCCTCGGGGCCTAGCGCCCTCGCTAGCACACCATCTAGTGACTGACTCTGATACCATTTTTAACCGCCCAAACTCATAGTTAGTAGATATTATCTATGAATGGTTTGTTCCCCTCCCCAAGCAGTAAAACAAACCATAAAAAAAGGCGACTTCTTTTGGTGCATTCTTTTCATCAGAGAGAGAGAGAAAAAAAAAACACTAATTTGATATGAAAAGAAAGAAGATGGGTCTTTTCA